GCACAGTACTTGAGGAACAACTTACAGATTATGAAAGACTAACAAGCGATCACGAAACACGAGAAAATATATTGATTCAAGATAAAATGAAGTTACAAAAGGATCTGGAAGCGACTGAGGCGAAACTTCGCGAAGCACAAACCGTACAAAATGAAGAAAGATCATTGAGATTGGCAGCAGAACGGAATATTGAAAGGCTTGAATCTGAAACAAGCGATATAGAAAGCGAAAGAAATGGTCTAATCGCCCAGAGGGATCAGTACAAAAAGCTTGTACAACAATTAAACGAACAGGTCGAAAATTTGACTAGTAAATGCGGGGAATTAGAATGTGATCTTTCAGAAATGAAACGAGTTTTGGACGTCACTAAAGCCGAAACAAGGGTCGTTAAGGAAGAAAGTAGTCAACACTTAACCAGAGTTCACGAATTAAAGGAAGCGAATTTTGTATTAATGAACGATTTACAGAATAGCATTGATCAAGGTCAGGAACTTAGGATGCGAATCACAGAATTGGAAAGTATCTTGGAGGAAATGCGACAATTCTATCAAGAAAGAGAAGTGAAAGCTGAGAGTACTAGGCAACAACAAACGAAGCTGATAGATTACTTGCAATTCAAATTAGAAGAGTGCAGTAAAAAGAAGAAAACAATGTGTGATAAAATACTTGGTACTAAACAGAAAGAAAATATTCCTCCTAGTGGTACTGGAATGCCAGTTGGCTATCGTGAATTAGAAAACCAATTAGCAAAAGAACGCGCCAAAGTTAGAACATTAACTGAACAGTTGTTAACGTTGAAAGCTATACACGCTTCGACTTCTGCTCCCTCGTCTCCTTCAGCACCGGATATTAGAAATGTAAATTATACTATGGAACCATCAACCACCTCATTACCTAAACGTTTGTCTCCGCAAAGAATTGGACACCACATTCCACATCGATTTGAGGTGGGTTTACCGATGCGAGCCGGGAAGTGCTCCGCATGTTTGGATTCTATTCAATTTGGAAAACGCGCAGCCATTTGCAGCGAATGTCAAGTAATGACACATTTGAAGTGCGCGGTTAGTGTACCTGCTACTTGCGGTTTACCTGGAGGCTTTGCTAAACAGTTTGGTAAAAGTTGGAGAAATAGCGAAGAAAGTTTATCGTCAATAACTGCAAGTGTACAAACACTAGCTATAGATCAACCGGATAAACCCGATATGGTATAATATTTAATATTTTAATCATGTAATTCTATATTTTATAATAATATGTATTTATTGTTGATAATAGGATACCTGTGATGTACAATATAAGAACAACGAAGAATTTTCAGTGGAAAGTTGGGTAAAACTGCCTGATCGTTCCAAAACTTGCTGGGAAAGGAAGTATCTTAAGTTGGAAGGAACACATTTATGTACTTACGACCATCAACCGTCTCCTGGAATGGCACCAGTAAATCGTATCGATTTAATCGAAAAAAATGGATTTACTGTGTTAGATACGGTAACTCATCCAGATGTAATGGGAACAGCAAAATCGGACATACCATTTATCTTCAGAATAGAATCCAATTCATCGACCACTTGTTGGCCGACATCACGTTTGGATATCATGGCCTTAAGCCAAACTGACAAGAAGAATTGGTTAAAGACCCTGAAATCTGTTACTAGTCAAAATATGAATAATGTTCATAAAAGTAAAAAATATCAAACTATATTAAGACTAGAAAAAAATCAAGTAAGCAATCCTGTTTATTTGTAAAAAAAATCGTATCGTACTATAAAATTCATTTATGATATGTTTTTAGTTGGACTTAAATTGTGCCGTCAATTTAACTGAAGGAAATATACTCCTATTTGGTGCCGAAGAAGGTCTCTTTTCCTATAGCGGTGCTAAATCACGAACACTTACTATGATTCGGGGAGTGAAGAGAGTGCATCAATTAACTTTACATCCCCATTTAGGAATTGCTTTAATGATAGCTGGTGAAAATAGACAATTAGTATCTTGTAGTCTAAGGCAATTAAAGAGTAACGCAGTAGCTGCCGAGTGCTCAAGGCCAGCAATTAATACAAAGGCAATTTTAACTAACACTGATAGCTGCCATTTATATCAATTACAAGGAGACATGCTTTGTGCAGCAACTGCATCCCATGTAATGTAGGTATTTCTAATTTGATTTTACACAATCTTCAACATATTTAATATTTTCTTATAAATATAGATTGCTTAAATGGTACATTGAAGAAGATTCTGGAGAATTTGTTGGAGTTCGTGAACTTGAAACATCTGAACCATGTAGTTGTGCCATATTTACTCAAAATGTTCTCATAGTAGGATGTAATAAATTTTTTCAAATCGATCTTGAAAATTATTGTGTCGATGGTAAATAATAAAAATTATTTGCGTTGCTTCGTGAATTAATCTACTATGTAATTAACAATTCAATTTATATCGTATTACAGAATTTCCAGAAGAAGATGATAGCTCAGTCAAAGCTGCACTATCAGGTGTAGCCAAACTAGGGATTTTCCCAGTTTGTGTTTTAAACGTTTCTCTTGTACCTGGAAAAGTAGAGCTTTTGCTTTGCTACAATGAATTTGGGATGTTTGTGAATGAAAGTGGCCAAAGAACTCGAAATATTGATCCAACATGGAATCATTTACCTTTTGCTTTTGGTAAAATATAATAATTTTATACAATATTAATATATAATATACTCATAAAAAAGATTATTTATATTTTTACAGCTTTCCGGAAACCATATTTGTTTATTATTCATTTTTCATCCGTGGAGATCGTAAAACTCGATCAAGATGCGTATACCTTATCAACAAAGAATCCAGAACGGATCTTAATCGAGTTATCTAGTCCACGTTATTTAGGAATAGCTGGATCAAAAGGAATTTACATAGCAACAATGAATTCTTTCTTGGAAGTATTAAAGATTGAAGGTTCTTCTAATATACCAGAATTAAATGGGAGTCTTACTAGTTTAGATACTTTGTACGTTATTAAAATATCACATGCGCAATTTAAAATTATTATACATGTAATTATGTTGATGTAATTTACAGAGGTCAAGAGGACGAAAGCAGTTCAGAGTTCAGTTTTACGTCGAGCTTAATGGAAGCCTTAGATGGTCAAGGGAAAAAAGTACATTTTACTGGCGTTTCCAAATATTAATACATTTTGGTACAAAATGTGTAATTTTATTCTTAATGTAATTGTAGGAATTGCAAAAAAATTGAGATCAAGACTGTAAACATTTAATATCAATTAAGAAAAGTAAGTTTTGACCAAGATGTTGCAAGTTGCGTTTGTACATTTAATTTAAATAATACATTCTTACTAATACGTAACTGCTAATTAATGCATAATAAAGGGATGTGTTCAAATCTTTTTATCAAACAGGAGACTTTTGTTTTACATTTACTTTGTGTTTAATTTTCTTTGAATTAAACAATTACATAGAGTCGGAGCTCAAATGTTTACTGTGCAGAAAAATTTATTATAATGTTATAATAAAAGTAATATTAGTTAGTTAACCAAATTTGTTATATTTATGTATATCACAAAAGTAATATTTTATTTTCTATGAGTTTCGTAAAAGTTCTTATGAAGAGATCTAAAGTTGATATTTAGTATTGGTGACTATGCATTAAATTTAAGAATTTAACATTGACTACAATACTTATTTAAAAAAAAAAAAACATAATATATTTTCAAATTACTGTATTGATTACAAAAATCTTTGTAATTTTGTAGTTTAAAATAAAATCCTATTATTAACAGAATAAAAATTTATATGAAAAACATCAAAAATTTAAATAATTATACTTCCATAATTTATGTTCCATAAATGATACTTCATTTCATGTCTTCTTTCATTGTCATATTTCTATTTTTCAAGTTTTCTCATGTTTCTCGTTTTCATATTCTCATATTTGCATGTTTCTTATTCTAAATAAGAACATTATACGATGTTTTGATTCATTGTTCCTTGTTCACGAAAGAATATTTCCGGAAAAAAAATTTGATTTCTTAATTTTGCTTTCAATGTAAATATTTTATTTCCATTTCTAAGAATGGAAGTGGTAAATTTGAAAATTTTTGAATAGTTATTTACAAGTCGGATAGCTTAAGCTTGAATTGTACTTTAAATTTGACTTTCATAATTTGTCTATGTTTTGTAATTAGGGGCACAAAGGGGACACATATTTATACAGAATAATGCAACATCCGTCCAACCTTGACATTTGTAATATTAAATCAACGAGTATTCATTAAGAATATTTAAAAATAGTATACATTTATAAATAAATAAATATTTAACATGTTTTTTTATCATGCGACATAATATTGCAATTTTAATAATAAATAAATAAACCTCTAATTTTATGAAAAAAAAAGTTTCTGAGAAATCAAAATAAAGTAAAATGTTATATCAGTTTTAAGAAACGATCTTAAATGTCACGTATTGATTAATTACGATATTTCACAATAAATTTAATTCAATATTCTTCAATTATTTATGTCAAACGAATAAACTCTAAATTAAAAGAAAGCTGCTTAGCTGATTATTTCATACATGTCTTATTATCTAGATAAATAAATAAATAAATATATATATATATATATATATATATATATAATTTTATTTTTTAACTAAATTGAAACAAGTACTTGATGAATGATAATTTCTCGAATATTTAGACAATGAAATTTAATCACTTAGATCATCGACGCAGAGGTCATTTCGACTGGAAATCGTTATGCAGATTAACTTCAGGAATATTCAAGTGAAAAAATAAAATCATCATGTGGAGGGGAAAAATTTCATTATAAGAAGCCTTTTTGTGTTTCTCCAGTCTTTAATCGTGTCGATGGTCTTGGCAGCAATCACGGCGACTTGATTACTCAAAGACACTCGACTAAAATATCCTTCTTTTGATATCAAGATAATCGAGAAGATAAAAATTAATAGGAAAGTGAAGCCAAAAAAAAGAACAAAAATGTCTTGTAACGTACAAATAGATCCGATGAAAGTGAACTACGCGGCGGTGGAACCAGGAGAAGAGGTGGTAATTTCTGGTCTCTCTGGAAGGTTTCCAGAAAGTAGGAATGTAATGGAACTGAAGGACAATTTAATGAACAAAGTGGATCTTATCACGGAGAACTACTCAAGATGGAGACTAGGTAACTGCGATTTAACTTTGAATCATTCAGAATGAGAATGAAACTTTGTCGTATATCACGGCAGATCACGCGGAAATCCCAAAGGGTGGTGGTAAGGTGTCCGATTTATCCAAATTCGATGCAATCTTCTTCGGCGTTCATTACAAACAAGCTCATACAATGGACCCTATGTGTCGGATGTTGCTGGAACACGCATACGAAGCCATCGTCGACGCAGGATTGAATCCTAGACAACTCAGAGGAACCAATACAGGAGTTGTTATAGGATCTTGCGTCAGTGAGGCGGAGAAGACTTGGTTCTACGAAAAGCTACAAGTAAACGTTATTATTTAAAATTAACTTGTAAGTATCTATTACTATTTCGAATATATTTCAGGCAAATGGTTTCGGCATTACTGGATGCAGCAGAGCCATGTTAGCCAATAGGATCTCCTATTTCCTTAGTTTACACGGTCCATCTTACGCGATTGATACAGCTTGCAGTTCCAGTTTAATCGCGCTGGATCAAGCTTACAGAATGATTCGAACTGGAATCTGCGACAAGGTGATCGTCGGAGGGAGCAATCTTTGTCTTCATCCCTACGTATCTCTTCAGTTCGCTCGTCTCGGTAATCCATAATAATTTTAACAAATTCTTTACTTGCTTTAATCAAGTGTATTTTAATTAACAATAGTAATCAAATCTACTTGCTTTAATCAACTTCTATTCTATTAATGCTCATTGATTTTTTTTCAATTAGAATGTAATTTGAATATGTATTTGTATAAGTTTCCATAATGAGACATTCATATGAAACGTTTATATGAACGAAGACTCATGTTAATAAATTGATATTTAATATCAGGCTTACTAGCTCCTGACTGTCACTGCAAATCCTTCGATATAAAAGCAAACGGCTACGTTCGCAGTGAGGCGACCAGCGTGATCCTCTTGCAGAAGGCGAAAGACGCAAAGAGAATTTACGCACAGGTTGTCTACACGAAAAGCAACTGCGACGGATACAAGGAACAGGGGATCACATTCCCTGCTAGTGAAATCCAGAAAATGCTTCTGACGGAATTCTACAATGAATGCAAAGTATCTCCTAATGAATTGGCCTTCTTGGAGGCTCATGGTACCGGAACTAGCGTCGGTGATCCTGAAGAATTAAACGCTATTGACAAAGCCCTCTGTCAGAAAAGGACCGTTCCTCTCAAGATCGGCTCGATCAAGTCGAATATGGGTCATACTGAACCTACCAGTGGTCTTTGCTCGGTAGCTAAGGTATGAATCTTTAGAATTCTTCTATATGTTCATAATAATGAGTTCAGTAATGATGAATAAATATTTTAAGATCATCATTGCAATGGAAAGTGGTCTGATTCCTCCAAACATAAATTTCGAAAGTCCCATGAAAGGCATGAAGTGCTTCGAAGAAGGAAAAGTCGAAGTGGTCACGGAACCAACCCCATGGAAGGGTGGTTACGTAGGAATAAATTCATTTGGTTTTGGTGGCGCCAATGCTCACGTTTTATTAAAATCCTATACGAAGGAGAAAGTAAACAATGGAGCACCTTCTGACGATTTGCCAAGATTGGTGATAGCGTCTGGACGTACGCTAGAAGCAGTAGAAACTCTTCTCAATCATGTAAGTAAATTAAACTGTAAAAGAAATTGTAGGAAGATTATATATTATACAGATTGTATAAGATTATATATTTTCTAGATTGAAAGTATACCAGTGGACGTGGAGTACATCCGACTTTTCTATGATATTCACTCCGAAAATATAACTGGCCATTTATTTAGAGGATACACAGTGATTGGATCAGGAGACATTAAACCACCAAGAGACATTAAAGACTATTCTGGCATGAAGAGACCAATTTGGTTCGTGTTTTCTGGAATGGGATCACAGTGGTCTGGCATGGGTACGTCTAGAAATCTTAGCACCATGATCCAAAAGCAATTTACTGGAAAATAATTTAAAAAGTAATGAATTCTATTGGTCTTATCTAATAGGTGAATCATTGATGAAATTCCCTATCTTTGCCAAAGCCATCCAAAAGTGCGACGCGGCTTTAAAACCACACGGTATCGACATTGTTGATATCATCACCAACAAGGATAAGAAAACTTTCGATAATATTTTGAATTCCTTCGTTGGAATTGCTGCTATTCAGGTAAAATGATTGTAAATTCTAAAAAAATGATTTCCAACATTCGTATAATAGTAACAAGGGATGTTTATTCAGATTGGTCTTGTTGATCTATTAACATCCGTGGGTATCGAACCGGATAACATAATTGGTCATTCCGTCGGAGAACTCGGTTGTGCCTACGCGGATGGCTGCTTCACTGCCGAGCAGATGATACTTGCGGCATACTCTAGAGGTCTGGCGTCCATCGAAACGCCAATGATTCAAGGATCTATGGCTGCAATTGGTTTAGGATACGAAGAGATCAAAGACTCGTGCCCGCCGGATATAGAGGTTGCTTGTCATAATAGTTCCGATAGTTCTACCATAAGTGGTCCAACTGAATCTGTGAAGCAATTTGTTGCCAAATTACAGGTTGGTTGTGAAAAACTATAATTCTGCAAAATTTATATGATAAAAATAATCAAAAATAATCAAAACCTTTTCAAAACGTTTTCTTCTTTGACGTTGAGTTGATTCATTTTAATTTTTTTTTTTTTAAATTCTCTTCATAATTTTCCAATTGTCTCAGGCAAATAAAATCTTCGCAAAGGAAGTAGCATGCAGCAATATAGCGTATCACAGTCGTTACATCGCGGAGGCAGGACCAAGATTATTGTCATACTTGAAAAAAGTGATTCCCCAGCCAAAAGCAAGAAGTTCCAAGTGGGTTAGCACCTCTGTGCCTCGCAGTCAGTGGTACACGGAAGTTGCCAAGTACTCCTCCGCGGAATATCACACCAATAACCTGTTGAATTCTGTCCTGTTCGCGGAAACAGCGACGCTGATACCATCTGATGCTATAACCATAGAAATTGCGCCTCATGGTCTCTTACAGGCGATCCTAAAGAGATCCTTAGATCAGAATGTAACAAATATCGCATTGACTCAAAGAGGTCATAAAGACAACGCTACATGTTTCTTGCAAGCCCTTGGGAAATTATATAATGTTGGTCTGCAACCACAACTCGCGAATATTTATCCGCATGTAG